CGAGTCCCGGACCCGGTGGCTTAAACTCACACTGGGCGCGTGTGCGTGCGTGCCCAAGATCCTGAGAGGAGAATGGAGGAGAAGGGATTGCGGCATGACCATCCCCCCTGGGGGATGATTTCTCGCTTTCTGTTTCTCTGTCTCTTTCTGTCTTTCTGGCGAGTGCACGCGCCCTATAGCAAAAACCTCTTCCAAAAAAAAACCACAACGTGGGCATGTGTGTGTTCTGTTCAAAACCCGTCCGTGGCTGGCTGTCACTCTCAGCCTCACCCATTCCTCAAGGATCCAGGCTCCTTCCGGGTCAGCTTCTTTCCTCCTCAGCTGCAGCCCTCGTCCTTAGGATCCGGGAGGATGGCTGCAGCTCCAGCATTACGACCATGTTCCAGCCAGCAGGGAGGTGGAAGGAGAGCCCGTTTCCTCTGGCTTCTGGGCCCTGTCTAGCTCTCGCTGCCACCGTGCACCCCCATCCCATCTTCTCTTCACGCCTCCCCTTTCCCTCTGGTCTGGCCTCATGGACTCTGCTAACCTTCACATGCAGCCCCGCTGTCCTCCCTCCCCAGGGCTGTGCACGTACCCGGAACACACTCCCTCCACTTTCTGCACTGCCTGTCTGGCCAGCTCTCCCTCCGCCTGCAAGTCCCCCCGGTCACGAGCTCCCCCAGCTTCTGGCCCAGGGACCGTCCTGGGCACGCTCCTAACTCTGTGCCTCCCCAGACACTGCCCAGCCTTGCTCAGGCTGCGTACCTGGTCATTTTCCTATTTCCCACCCTGAACTCCCGTAAAAGGTGCCCAGAGCCTGGCACTGGGCCAGCGTGCCATAGATGCTCAGTAAGCGCTCCTGGAATGGGTGAGCCCCATGGGTGCTCGTCTTCCAGGTGCCTCGAGGGCACAGCCGGGCTCTAGGCATCGTGCCTTGGCTCTCTCTGGCTCCTGCCTGCCGTGGTAGAGGTGGTACTCAGGGGGAAGGGGCCTGGTGGCCTCTGGGCCACACGGGTCCCTGCTAGTGACAAAAGGAGCCTTACTCTGGCTCGCGCGGAGGCTGGCTGGTACGGCCGAATGCATGTCATGGAGTAGCTCTGTCCATTTCCAGGGACCCGTGGCCCATCAGAGGCCTGAGAAGCCAGGAGCCCCTCAGCTGGCACTGGCCGACCAGCCAGTCTGTCCTGCCCTTGTCCGTCCCCGGAGACCAGGGCAGCCTGGGCCACAGGGCTGGCTGCGGGGCGTGAGGAAGGTCTGGGAATAGAATGGGGTCGCACCTTGTAGCCCTCACGCTCTTGTCACCCCCAGGCTCCCTGGGGAGGGAACCGTGCTGGAATATTCCCGCATCTTTATATCACCCCTGCCCTCGAGAGCTGGTCCTGCCTCACAGGTCACCAGCCGGCGGGGGCCAGTATTAGCCCAGACAGGTTGGCACATGTGCGCTTTCCTCAGAGCGTTGAGGCTGGGGGCTGTGGGCCTGGTTGTGAGGGGCTCACACCCACTGTCCACTTCTCTACGGTGGCCTGACCTCCTACGGGGGTCCTCGAATGTTCCTTCTTAGCCGAGCCCACCAGGAATCCGGAAGAGGAAGGGGTTGAGGGAGGAGAGGAGGCCAGGAATCCCAGCCTGCTCCCAGGGCTGCCCGCCCTCGCTGAGGCCCTGCCAGCCTCTCTAGCTCCGGGAGCCTGGGGTTGACAAATCACACCTGGGTGGCCTCAAATCACACCTGGCATTCATCCACGCGTGGGAGAGGCCGCCCGAGAAGCGGGCCCACTCGGAATGGCAGTGTCTGACCGGCCCTGCACACACGGCCACGTCCCTCGCTTTGGGACCCCAGTGTGCAGCAGCTTCCTGGCCCAGGGTCCACACTCACACCATGGAGCTCTGTCCCTGAAGAGAGGCATTATTAGGTGGCATTATCATGCAAGCAGGGCCTTCCTCCCCGGGCCTTGCCTCTCACTCCCGAAGAGAAGCCTCTTTCATGTCCCCTGAAAACCCCGAACTCAAGCCAAGGCCCCCCTCCCGCCTTCCCCAGGCCTCTGAGCCAAAGCCCTAAGAATGGAACCCACGTCTGCTGCCCACAGTACCTTCGGAATAAAGGAGTGGGCGAGGCACCCAGTGGGCCCGAGGGCAGCCCCACCTGCCCCGCGTTCCTGGAGGACCCGGGCCTCACCAAGTCCCCAGCCTCGGCCGGCGATCATGTCGGCAGACTCGTGCGCAACATCCCTCATCATAAGGG